GTCCTTAATCTAGAATGTGGGATACATTTTTAGTTTTTTGGGAAAAATTATAACCTAGTTTGTTTTTGGAAGTGGGACTACTTAAAGCTCGACGCCTCCCCCTAGCGGTAGCTTGCAAGAAGTTCACAGAGAAGCAGTTTATGGGCAGATCTCAACTGAACATCAAGAAAATAGCTAATATTTGTAAGTTAAGCAGTTCTCAATAAATGAATGATATTGGATTCTAGAGAGTTCAGTTCTTTTTTAATTACCCCATTATGTTAAAAAAAGGTATTGAAATATTCTGTGGTTTGTATTTTCACATACAACTTAAATATATAATTTTGGAAAAACAATTCGGGATTATTTTCTTCTCTCTGGTGCCTTTTACATTTTTGTTCTTTTAATTAATATTTTTATTTGAATAAGTTTTGCAGAGACAGTCTGCAGCTAATTTTCATTTTATATCTGGGGACCTATTCCAAACGTACCTTTCTAGGCAACTCGTGTTAAAAACTAGTAGCTACAGTACGTCAACAGCATATTTGATGTTCATTAGGAAAAATAAAAGAGACAAATGAGAAACCAGATGATTTGAAATAATTTTTTGATAGTATATATTTAAGGAAATTGTGTCATCTGTTTCAGTACTATTATGGTATCTAAATGTTGATGCACATCAAAATAAACTGGGGTACACTTGTTATTGACCACAGGTTTTTGGGCCCCTCATAAGAATTACTGAATCATAATCTCTAAGTACGGGACCTGAGAATCTCTATTATTTCAAATTATGTTTGGAAACCTGGTCTGCAGAATGCCCTGAAAACTGTTTGTAAAGAAGACCACATATGTTTGTATTAATAGAAAATAATTTCAGAATCTCAACATCAATTACCTATTCAATTATGTGATACTGACATGCAGCAAAATCTCAGATAACACATGACTTTATGGTCTGCATAGAGATTTCAGTCACTCTTTCAAAAATAAATACCAACCATTGACTACACCCCGATATGGTGTCTTCTTACTTACAGAAATTTTCTGAAATCAGAAATGACATCATATGTGAGGCTATCTTACTGGCCTTTTCTGAACCCATCCCAGAAACATCTGAACTCAGTCCCGCTGTCAGATTCTGATCCTTGCCCTTCTCCAGTTTTCAGTATCACTGGTCCTTGGGACAAATGCCCAACGTGGCAATTGAATCCTCTATACCTTTCCAGCTTCTCTGGGTAATATTCTATATATAGACTCTGATCAAACCGCAGAAGTGGACGTTCTTTTTTTTTTTTTGAGTCGGAGTCTCACTGTGTCACCCAGACTGGAGTGCAGTGGCCGCTCCCGGCCACCGCAGCCTCGACCTGCTGGGCTCCAGCGATCCTTCCGCCTCAGCCTTCCAAGGAGCTGGAATTACAGGCACGCGCTACCATGCCCGGCTAATTTTTGATTTATTGTAGAGATGAGTGCCCCAGATTCATCATGCCCTTACATGCCTTCATGCTGTTAACATACTGTTCACTGCCTGACATACTCTTCTTCCCTCAGAAGAAAATAATCCTGAATTATTTTTCCTAACTCTCAGGCATCCGTGTAGGCTCAGCTCAATCATCACTCTACCTGGGGAGTGTTTTTCAATCCCAGCTCTGAGAGTTCAATGCTTCCCACTGTGTCCCTGAAAGGACCTTGGGCATGCCACTATTTCAGCATTAGCGCGTGGCTATAATTATCACTGGTCTTCATATAGCACTCATATCCCCAGGTTTTACCACCCTTTGGGCACGGAACAGGGACTTAATTCATGTTTTTGTAATGAGTTGATAGTATTCACTTTCATTTGTCCCATAATTAACACAGGCCAGGCACAGTGCTAAGTGTTCTATGAGCATCTCATTCAATCCTTACAACGTTGAACAAGCAGTATGATTATTCACATTTTAAATATCAGACAATCCTGAGAAATATTAGCAACTTGCCAGTGATCACACAACCAGATAGTGGGAGACCTAGAATTTGGACACAATGTTTTTCTGACCCTGGAAGGCAGTGTTCTTAAATGTGACACCATAGTGCGTCCCTGCGCGGGCTCAGATTGTACTCGCTTGCTAAAAGCAATTCCTCTTTGATGGTTTCTACCCAAACACCCTCATAGCTGGAACACTGAAGGAAGATGAACATTCTTTTAGTCATTAGAACGTTCCACAAGCCAGCTCAGGCACACGTGTGTGTGTGCGCGCACCTTCACACGTTCACACACACGTTCAGTGAATGGCAAAGCACACATATATGTGTCAGATTGTTATAGCTACAATGCTTAGTCTGCAAAATTGCAAAAACAAAGAAGTTTTAAAAAGAGAGCTATGCACCACATCAATGTAAAGTCCCCAGAATAAAAACAGAAGTCCCCTTTAATGAAAACCTTACAAGATTATCCCAAATTGCACGTGATTTTTAATGGACTGCAGCCACTCTTCTGCATTGCTATTTTATTTCTTGGACAAGAGGAAGATATATTTATGCAAAAGGGTAGTTAGCATTTCCAACCACTAACACATGGCCTGTAAAAAAATAATCATCCCGTTTTTCTATTGGGCAACAGTCCTCTGTTGGGCACCAGCAGAGTTCAGTGTGCTCGTTTCCTGTTACTTTCCTGAGCCTTCTCTGCACTCACTGCCCAGGCTAGTTATTCCTTGGATATAAAGCGATAATACTGAGCTTCAACTACTTCCCAAAATGTTTCTGCCTGTCTTAGGAAATAATCATACCAGCTTGCTAATAGGCAGAAAGGCACTGCAAGCTGAGTATGTTGTCACAAGTGGCTAAAAAACATATAAATCAATCTGTGACCAAGGAAGAAATAATATAGTTCTTATGTGTCCAAAACATTATGGTTGGGATCACAGCTGTAAGATGTTGGACCATCATCAAGAGAACAATGTCAAACACCGAAGTTCTGGATGATTTCCATAGAGATGACATTTTCCTGGGGTCAGTCGTTTTATGGACCTTTGGAATGATTTCCACTGACGATTTTTTTAGAATTGAACTTAAACACCTCCAAAACACTCCTCAACAGGGTAACGTTATGTAATCCAACCTCAGCAGCCATCTCCTTCTGAAAATCAAGCACGTATCATGAAAACCAGTCTTTCTCTCTTTGTGTTTGTGCTTCATAAAATTTAAATTGCGCTACATATTCAGGTAGGCAAACTTTCTCCTCAGTTTTCCTTGTTTAGTTACTGCATTCAAGTCAGCACATCAAATGTGTAGTTATGAAACCCAGCAGGAAAAGAAGGCGCTGGATTCCTGTTGTAGAAATATTGTCAACCCAGCAATATTATTTGAAGTGAAAAGAAGAATGGAATGAAAAATCAGTGTATATAAGTAGTTCCGTTTAGGCCTAATAACTGACTCTAATATTTTTTGTTCATTTCTATATATCTCAAACAACTTGATACTTGCTTTACCCTGGGCTGAATTCTCATTTGTGTTAACTGTCCTTTTAGAGTCCAGAATTCAGAGGTATGTTATGTTGAGTCCAACAAGGCAGATCTTCATAAAGCAACTGGAAGGTTTTGTAAACAGTCTAATGACAAAGCTAGCTGTGGCATAAAATCATTCTTCCAAGGAGACTGTATTGGCTTAGTATACCTATGCAGTATTAATAATACCACTCCCTAGGATTCCGTAACCAGAGCTCGAGGAAAGAAAAGCCAACCCACTGAATTTAATATCTGCAGTCTGTTTCAGGACATGAAAATATTTTGGTTCTCTCATGCAAATAATTCCTCCAAAATACTTTTGTCCAAAGTGACTTATTGTAGACAGTCTAATTTCAAATTTTATATGGCTCAGCGTGTGGGAATACGCACTCAGAATTTGTTCCACATTAGGGAGTAGTTTGTTCCTGGTTTTCATTTACTATGATATTGATTTGAATCTAAGTAGCTTCTCACGGTGATGTATGTGCTCATGGCTGTTACTCTAACCATGCCCTTGGAAATTGTTTTGCATTGTAGATTGTATATGTGAAATGTTTATGTAAGAAAATGTCTAGTTAATTCACTATTTAGAAATGCATAAAAACAACTCACCCAATTTGGTGCCAGACTTATCCTCTTAGATCAAATTAATCTTGTTCTAAAACTCTCAGCGGTTCTCCAATGCCAAAAGAATAAAATTCAGTTCATCACCTTGGTTCCATGTTGGCTACAATATGCCTTCCCTCATCAAACCCTTGAAAGTCACGTTGATTCCACTTAATATTTCCTCATAGGGTAAGTCTGAAACAAATCTATGCTTCAAACCTTGCTCAAGGTCGGGGTAGACCCCATGGAATCCAATATACCCCCAACAAATATCTACTCATTTGATCAGTAGAGATACTGAGTTCCTGCTCTATAGCATATAGCATAGGGATATTGATAAGTTAAAGTCACCACCCTGCATATAGAGAAACTGCAATGCATATTAATTTCAACATACAAATATTTATGTTAAAATACAGTTATTCTGGTATTCATCATGAACTAGTATTTCCCTATTTGTTATGCTAATCAGTTCTCTTCTCTTAGATGGCGTGCAAACATCTTGACACATTGCAAATATGAAACTGCCACTTGGAAAAATTTGAATATAAAATGGTGCCTTAACTAGGAGTCAGATAATAAATGTTTTAAACGGCAAGAAATCTCAAAACTTTCTATTAAATATATTATACCTAAATAACTATTATGCAAAATAAATTCCAAACTTACAAGAACATAATTCTTTAGAGTTCAAACTTTCATTTATTCGTTGTTTCATTATATTATATAGTCATTTAATGTTTACATTGTTTGGGCTATAACACAGATTTAATAATGAGGACTTGAATGAATGATTTAAATAGTAGATATTTGGGTCTCTCATGATGGTATGCAATGTAAAAAAACAATTTAAGTCATTTTTTAAAACCTAGAATAACCAAATAGAACATACGTGGATGTAATTTTTAAAGAAGTATCGTTTCATTACAGGAAAAAAAGGAAGAGAGAGGAAAAGAAAAAAACTTAATAAAGAAGAAAGTAAAGAAGCAGTACCTGACAACAGAGATGTAGAATCCAGCAGAGAAGCCGCAGAACAACGAGAAAACAAAGACAAACAGCAGCAGAAGAAGCGAAAAGTCCAAGATAAACAACAGAAATCGGTATCAGTCAGCACTGTACACTAGAGGGTCCCATGAGATTGTTGTAGACTCACGATGCTGCTATCTCAACCAGATGCCCAGGACAGGTGCTCTAGCCGTTAAGATCACAAATGGACAACATATCAGTTACTGCTCTGTCTAACGACATTCCAAATAGTTGCTATATTCTTCCTACGAGCATAGTTAACAACCAAGAGCCAAGAGTTCAAATAGGGGATACTTTTAAATGGTCATCTTGTGTGCTTCTGTGCATTTTTAAAAGACAAGAAATTGTGTATATAATTATCAATAGGCTATAAGATGTATCAACGTAATGATAACATCTGGAGAAGACACATCTCTTTCCTAAAAAATGTGTTTTCAAGCTATTGTTTGAAGAAGCAAAAGATAATCCTGCAAGTTTAAAGATTCAGTATCTCTTCAACACAAATAAGAGGTCAGAAGAGAGAAGCATCGATCAAAAGACTGTGTTGTTTTGTCCAGGAGAGCTAGAGAATGCTCAGCATTGGGTCCTGGTATTTGGAATCATAGGATTGATCATCACAGAAATAACTGTTTTAAGATTAGTTTTATTGCCCTCATCCTGTACTTTTGCAAGAAACATGGGAGTGCATACCAGAGTTTAATATACCGTATGGGATTGAAGACAGGCAAAATGTGGAAGAAACCATAGAATTGGAGATTACCTTTGTGCTTTAACAAAGCTGTGAAGGGTTGTGATCGCCTGGAACAGGTCTCCAATCTATGTCAGCACTGTGTGGTTCAGCCTCTGTTACCCTTGGATTATATAAGTCTGTAAACATGCGCCTGTAACTTACTTCCAGAAACAAAATTATACTTATTAGAAGAAAATTCTGATTTCTTAGAAAACAAACAAAAAAATAGAGCAAGGAGATTATAACATGTTTGCAAAGTCATGCGTTTTCTTTCTCTCTCAATGAAAGAAAAACAATTTTATTATCTGCTTCATGATCCACCTGAAACTAAAAGGGATACTACTTTCTAACAAGGTGTATCTAGTAGAGGAGAAAGCCACCACAATAAATATATTTGTTAATAGTTTTTAAAGTTTTGTTCACTTTCTTTTGCTGTTTGTTTTATTGAGCAGTTGATCAATTTAGAGACCCATGAATTAGGAAGAAGGATAATTCTGCTAAAGCAGAGAAGCTGTGTCCTGTGTAATTCAGAACATCCTACATTTCTCTGTGTTTGCTTTTTGAATCCATATTTCTCTGAGCCCATGGAGATTAAACATATAGGATATTAGGAGACAGATATTCAGCTTTCTTATTTTAATCAAGAAAATGTTAGTTACAGACACATGGGCCTACCTAAATGATGTCACTGCTCCCTCTTCATTGCTTGGAAATAAGCATCTTTTCTTGTGTATCAGTTTCCTGCATCTTCAACATTTAGCCTTTATCATCTCTGTATTTTCTCAGTCTGTGGATTTCTTTTGGGAATTGAAGTCCCCCTAGGGGAAGGCCTCACCGGTGTTTCACAGAAGATATAGCTGGCATCTCTGAGTGTGTAGCACAGAATTTCATTACTCCCATCCCACCTCCCCTCCAACCTTACTGTTGTCATGGAAGAACACACAACTGTTCTATCATGCCTCCCAGACCTCTCAAAATCCCTCCTTTCTGAAGAATTTGCAGTTCATCTGGCTTCTGGCTGCCTCTCTCTCTGGAAACCCTTTCTCTATTAACCATATTGTTCATGTGAACTGCTTGGCTTAATTGATTTTCCACTTCTCTTTTCCTCTTCTAAGACATAAAAATTTTAAATGATGTATTCCTGCTTCTTACTCTGGTGTTTCTTTCCTTGTCCCCCCAAAATAAATATTTCCATGTATAAAATAATTCTCAATCTATGTTCCACTAAAACGTATATTACCAAGGAGAAGCAAACCTTAGATCCTACAGAATTACACTGGGCAGAAGGATGTCACCATGTTTTAGCACTTTGGATGGTTTCATGCACCATTTTTGTTCTCAGTGTTACCAGTCAAGTACAAGCAACCAGATTAATTTTTGTATATCTTTCCGTGTTACCATTGTATTTGTTTTCTCAACAAGCACTTACTGGGAAAGGTCTTCATGTGTATATCCAGTGCTGCAAAAGAGGTGAAATAAACCAGGACACAATGATGGTAGCAAATGACTATCATGTCTTCCCATGTGTTTTGACTCAAGGCTATTTCCCTGTGATCCTCCAGACAACAACCAAGGATCTAAATCTTTGATGTAAAATTTAAATAAAACTAGACTTGTTAAAAGGAAAAAGAAGGGAAAACTAACATTAATTTTCATACACTGAATGAAATATAAATGAAGACAAAGATAACATCAATTTTAACTGCAATTCTCCACTCACCTGTAACTGATCCTTAAGCGCATGGAATCATACATAATTCAGGCTAGCAGCCTTCTCAACTTTGAACAAAAACTCCTCACCAACCTCTAGTAAAGTTTCTGCACTATTCATTAACTTTCTGCCCTGATTCTGACTCTGAGATCTGGTAAACTGTAGATGGTGATAGATAGTGGGTAAATTCTCGATGCGAAGAATCCAGAGAGTGCAGCAACATAAAACTGCCAATGTTTGACCCATGCTTCTGCCCTGATGCCCAAATTCTGCTTTATACCTAAGGGGAGGCCTCTTTTCTGTCCTCAGAAGATTTTGGTTCTAGTCCCAGGTGTGTAACGATTGGTACGTCATTTCTCATGTGCAACAAGGAAGAGGGGGACTGGAGATGACCACTGTGTCTCAGACAAGGGGACATTTGACACTTCTTTTACTTTAAGGTAATGCCCTTAATGAGTCTTAACAGTGATAGCATCCTTTGGAAGCTATCCCAACCCTGTTTTTTCCCCAAAGTGGAAATGTACAGACTTTCAGAGGAGTCAGATTAAATTTTGTGACTCTGAGTTGAATTCTGCTATTGAATTAAAAGTTGTTCACCTTGGTGGTTATTACAATATTGATATGAAGAAAACATAAATAAATACATCTTATGCCAAGAATAGAGGCTGATCCTCAGAGAGGGAGACAGTAAAGACAAGGGGAAGTGCTCTTTAGCTAGAGTTAGACAGCTGTGTTAACATCCCAGTTCTGCTACTAACTGGTTGTAAGTTGTGTGACCTTGAGCAAATGGTGGGGTCTCACAAAGCCTGCATCCCTTATCTGCAAAATGAAAGAAGCAACACCTCTCTTACAAGGTTGTTATGAGAATTAAAGGGTTCATTGTCCAGTATAATACTATGAAGGAAAACACACAAAAAATGGAACTTATTTATTATAAATTGTGTATTTATTCTTACATGTTTAAACTTTAATCACCTTCAGTGTACACTTTGTTTGATACACCACACCTAGTGAGGTGCTTTTTCCACTGCTCAAAACAGTTCTTGAACTCATCAATTCTGATGCCTTTTAGTGCTTCTGCCACTTTTTAGGTTCACCTCTTCCACATCAGCAAAACATTTCCTTTGAGGAAACTTTTTTCATCCCAGGAAACAAAAAAACGTCGCTCAGGTAGAGATTAGGTGAATAGGGAGGGTAGGGCGTGGGAGTCATGCCCTTTTTTGGTCAAAGACTGCTGATCACTTAGCAAGATGTGGGCAGGTGCATTTTCATGGTAGAATAATCAGGCACCTGTTTGCCATGCTCAGGAACATTTTTTCTGCAAATCGTGACGCAACCTTCTCAAAACCTTCAGATTAAAAACCTTGGTTGACAATTTGATCCAAAGGAACAAATTCTGAGTGTACTACAAGGGACCCGCCCTCCAAAAGATAATTCCAGTTTTTTGGGGGGAGGTCCCCCTCATATTCTGTATGTAAATAAATGTCAATAAAAAGTCATGACTAATTCCACAAGTCACACATATAAAACAATTTTATTTCTTGATTAATGATTTGTGATAGTATTCATATAAGTGTATATGTGTGATAATTTCAAGGAATGATTATACATATGAGAATCATGGAAATGAATAATGATAACTAGAAAGTAAAATGTAAATATCAATTTGGAGCCCTCTTAAAATTGAGAAATTACTTCTTCTTAAAAGTATACCTTTCTATAAATGGGCATAAATAAAGACACGCCATCTTTTTCATGAATATATTTAAATGACAGAAGAAGAACTGGCTAGATTTTTTTTTCTCAGTACAACTTTAACTACTTCTGAGACAACTGTGGGGAGAAACCCTTTTATAGCTGATCTGTTGCAGTATGTAACCTCTTGCAACACAGAGAATTTGTCTAGAATCCATCCTTCTCTGAAAGAATAAGATCAAACAAACTTGGTGGTCCGATTGAGACTTTTCCCAATTCAAGCAACAACATTTCTTCTTACTAACCCAGTAAATTATTTTTGTTTTATTTCAAGATTTCTTAGAAAAAGAAAAACAAAACAAAACACATGGTGATACCTCCTTTATGTTATCCACATACCCTTTGACTAAGTTATGTTATCCAGTCTTCCCTAAAGCCATCTGAGGGAGCTATGAATAGCCTTGTTTTACAAAAGAGAAAACCAAGGCACAGAGAAGTGCCCAAAGTCACACAACCAGCAACCAGCGAACCTGGAAGCCACACTCAGCTCTAGCTGACTCCAAAGCCCACATTCCTTCCCTTTCATCACATCCTTTAAACTCGTATTTATTGTTAGTTCCAAGATTGTCCATGGCATGCAACATTGAAGGTTTTTCCCATGATCTGAAATAGTACTTCATGAAGAAAGCTAAGTAAATCATAGAGGCCTCAATTCCGGATAAGACTTAGCTCTCACTCAAACCTCAAATTGTCTGAGTGTGTGTGTGTGTGTGTGTGTGTGTGTGTGTGTGTGTGTGCATGTTGCAGCGAACCTATGGATTCCCTGATGGGACATTGAGTGGGGGAGGTAAGCGCTTTAGAAGGCAAGAGGGATTAAAAGGAGAAATGAGAATTATGTGCTATCAGAAGAAGCCCCAGCTGAGAGAGAACCGGAAGAGCAGGTCTGGCTCCCTGGGAAGTCCTGGATTGCTACGGCCCTTTTTGACTGTGGAGTAGCCCTCAGTTCAGTTCTCTTCGGGGCGTTGACTAACACTGTCATCTTTCCTGAGTCATTAATCAGGATTGCAATGATCCAGGAAAGACATCAATGGAACTTCTTTGCTGTTGGAACTATCAAAGTCACTTTCTTTATTCAAATGATGCTTCACTGTCCTCCAACTACTTTCAGACATTCAATATCAGGAATTTGGTTGTCACACACCATGTCTTGTTCACCTTGTCTCTCAAGCTGATGATGAGGCGAACACATCCATTACATAAACAGGTACAAAAAAGTGAGGGACAGTAAAAAAAAGAAAGAAAGAAGAAAGGAAGGAAGGCGGGAAGGGAGGAAAGTTGGGGGGGAGGGAAGGATGGAAGAAGCTGGGAAATAATAACCACTTTTATGCATGGTCATTAAAATACAGTGATGACGCTACTTCAACTGGTAGAAACACTTCATTAATTTGAAAAGTGACAACATGATTATTTCAGGAGACAGAAGTTCAGGACCTCAAAGTAATCTGATATATAAATATATCACTTACACTTCTATATAGTTGTGTGCAAAATATCTTACACCTCTATATGGTTGTGTGCAGCCAAAATTGTGGCTCAAATGATGTTGAGACAATCCAAGATATCAAATCACTTATTGAAGATTACGTTTTATTTTTTTAAAGAGAACTTGCAAATATATATTAGAAAAGCTTTTAAACAAAATTGAATAATAGCTTTAATTACCAACGTTTTTCTAGCTAATTAAGGTTGAGTTGATCCATTAGCTTTTGTATAGTAACATTTGTAATTATTTTAGGCATCCCTAATTTCCATTAAAAATGATTTCGGCCAGGCGTGGTGGCTCAAGCCTTTCATCCCAGCACTTTGGGATGCCAAGGTGAAGGGATTGCATGAGCCCACGGGTTCGAGACCAGCCCAGGCAACATGGCAAGACCTCGTCTCTACAACAAATAAAAAAAATTATCTGGGTGTGGTAGCGTGCATCTGTAGTTTAGGCTCAGAAGGCTGAGGCAGAAGGATCACTGGAGCCCAGCAGATAGACACTGGGGTGGTCGTGAGCATGCCACTGCACACTAGCCTGGATGACACAGTGGGACTCCAACTAAAAAAAAAAAGAAAAATTTCAAGAGCTATATTTTTTCAAGGAATTTAACAACTTGAAATTTGTAAAGCAGCATCTACCTTTATAATAAAATCTAAAATAATCCAGTGCATTGCAAGTACTTTGAAATTGTAACGTACAATAAATATGGAAGCTATTATTGTTTTTTCTTTCCCCATTTCTTATACTATTGCCCTCACTGGAGATTTTAGTCTTGGAGGAAAGTACCCGTATTCATCCTAAAAAGGAAGTACAATACTAATACCAATACCCGAGGCAACCACATATTTGAAAATGCAGAAATGTAGCCTTTCCTTCTAGTGTATTTTTTTCATGGAACTGTATCAAAGGAGGATTAGAGGCATGACATCCCTTTGTAAATTTTTCTATAACCAAGCACAACAAAATAAACTACCACTAAATGTTGGGACCTGAACTAGAGACATTTCTGAGTCAGTTAATGCTACCATGTGTGGTCTCCCTAGACCATGCACACAACAGGTTAGTCCCAATCTCCCAAGAGGTAGGAAATTCTGCAACAACTCAGTCAAGCAACTGGCCATGATGATATCAAGGTCTGAAAAAAAAAAGAAAATAAAAAAATGTTGATCCCAAAAAAAATGAGACTCTT